TCTTAAATTAGTCCAAAAAAAAATGTGCAAAACGCTGTGGGGCTTGCCTAATTGTGTAATACACACAAGTTGGGAACACAACACAGGGTGTTACATTTAAAATAGGTCCTGCTCAATCTTTTTATAAAAAAAAAAAAAAAATTAATGAGCAAGCGCGGTTCGCGGCTTCCCCTATTTCCCATTAAATCACATTTCTCACGAATCCTTGACGAACTGTGCATATCCTTTAGTTTCTATTTTATCCACGAGGGAATAGTCCCCGCTTTCTATAATCTTCCCTTGGTGCATGATATGGATATAATTTGGCCTGAGTAATTCCAGTAGCTTCTTATAATGAGTAACTATTAAGAAGGAATTCTTGTCATTGGAAAAATTCGTAATAACATTGGATGTTAATTTGAAAGAGTCTACATCTAGACCGGAGTCCGTTTCATCTAGGATACAAAAGGAAGGCTTCAATATTAGCATTTGCAAAATTTCATTTCTTTTTTTTTCCCCTCCACTGAAACCATAATTAACAGGTCTATCTAAAAATTCCGGGGTCAGTCCCACTTTTTTTATTTCTTCAATCATTAAGAGGTCAAATTCGGTGGCACTGATCTCGGGTTCGTTTCTTTGTCTCCGATGGCTATTCAACGCGGCTCGTAAAAATTCATTATTCTTCACCATGGGTAATTCCACAGGGTACTGAAAGGCTAAGAATATGCCGCACAATGACCGCACATTAACAGGTAATTCGTTTAAATCGAGTCCCTTATACTTTATACTACCGCTGGTAACTTTATAATAGGGATGGCCAGCTATTACTTTGGATAGCGTCGATTTTCCAGAGCCATTTCTCCCCATAATGGTATGTTTTTCGCCTAAAAAAATGGTAAGATTTATTCCCTTTAGTATTTCTTTTCCTCCTTCTACTTCTATTGCATGCAAGTTGGTTATTTCAATTAAGGGCATTTTTTCATTCCATTCTGGAGATTGGATAATAACTTTTGATTCGTCATCTAAATTTTTTAGCAAAGACAATCGACTAGTGTCCTCGTTGGAGTTGTCCATATGTAGGGTTACATTATTTCTTTTTTGCAACTTTTTATTTTTTATTTTATTCAACAGAAAAAAAGGTTTCACTGTATCCTCTTGTCCACCCTTTAACAGAACAACGTTTCTTACATTTTGCCTAACCCGCATGCACGTCGTCAGGTCAAGGAAAGCAACCAGTGCACAAACAATCGCTTCCCACTTGGCCGTTCGCATTTTACAAGTGTCCCGCCCACACACGTGATCTCACATGGGTAACGTGCGTACTTATATTTCTAGCTGTTTTTTTTTTTTTTTTTCCCACAATTTGAAAAAAAATAAAGAAGTGTGAAGATTTTACGGAGGCGCAAACACTATTTGCATATTTCTTATGACAGAGGGTGAGGGGGGGGATGAGTTCCACTTTTCGTGGGTAACTAAAAGTTGGTCCTCTACGTCGTCATTATGAAGTTGGCCGTTTTGAAATTACCGCTGTGACATTAAGCGACAGGGTTTGGCAAAGCAGGTTCAAAATTTACCTGTCACAAAAACAGAAATACCCACCAGGCGAATTCATTCCCATATGCTTTTCCATACACAGAAATATGCAACGTGTTAGAATTTTTAAAAAGCTTTTAATGGAAAAGGAAAAGTGGGATTGACTTTATATATCCTGAAGTTTTTTTTTTTTTTTTTTTTTTTTTTAAATCGGTTTACGTTCTGTTTAACTTTGGAAGATGCAACATTTGAAAAAAATTGCCAATGTCATTTTGTCCGTTCTGCCTCATTGTTTTTTTTTTTTTTCACCACCTTATGTTGCACCCTTTTTTTTTTGTTTTTTCCTGTGCACATTTTTCATGTTCTCTTGGGTAGTTCTTAATTATGGATTCACCTTATTTTATGAATGTTAAATGTGCATATATATATGTGTTTATATCCTTTATGGCTGAACCCAGGTGTAGTTCCTTTGTGCCACCCCTACGTTCCTTTTGCATATTCTATGGAAGGGAAGAACGTCCAACAGAAGCGACACCGAATGAGTGAACTACACTGTGATGAAGTTTCTATAGTAGCATTATTCTGTCCATGTAGGAGTAGCGGACGGCTTGGTTAGCCAAGTCCTATATCTTGCGTGGCGCAAAAAAAAAAAAAAAAAAAAAAAAAACAGCATATTAGCGAGAGGCCCCCTTTTTCCATGCCAAACTGCAAAAGAGGCAAAATTAAATCTGTCTGCACAAAGACTACAAAAAAGATCAGTGCAAAATGAACCCCAAACCGTTTTATAAGGCACCAAAAGTAACAAAGGAGGAACTAGAAAAAGAATTTGACAAAACATGGTGTCATCGCAAGAGTAGCTGGGACGAACTCACAGATGCGTCACAATATACAGAAGAAGAGTTGCTACATAGAAGAACAAAACAGGACATGTGTAAATCAAACTTCTTCGCAGAATGTAGTAAGAAAAAGGAGCAGACATGTATACTTTTTAAGTGCACGTCTAAAAAGGTACACACATATATTCACGCTGCAGTTGGGGATTTCATATGCTTGGAAAACGGGTCCATCCCAATGCATGGAAAAATGAAAACTTTTAAAAAAAGAAAAAAAAACCCACATAAAGTTTTTTTTTTCAGCGAGGGTACATCATATATAAATAAACCACCTGATACATATGATGGTAGCAGCGATAGTGTTGATAGGGGAACCCCCTTTGAGCACCACAACAGGAGGAACTACAATACCAGGGGGACTAAGTTAGACACTGCAAAATGGAGAAGAACCAGGGGAAAAAACCTAAATGAGAAGGAAACCATGTCGCCGCCTATATTCGATGGGAAGTGTAAGAACGATGATCAGCACAATATTGAGCACACGACTTGTGTAAAAGTTGCAGGAGAGGAGAAACGCAATGCAAATAATGGAAGATCGTTTTGCATTAATAAGAATGAAACGAGCGTTCCCCGAAGATGCATGGATGATGTGATATATCCCTACAGTTTCAGTAAAGCCAACGAACAAGAAAATATCCTAACAAACAAAATGAACAAATTGGCAAGCGGAAAGTTACGCTTAAGGATAAGTGAGAAGAATAAATTAGACAAAACGTTACAGGTAGCAGTGGAGGGAAAACTAAATGCAGGTTCCACTCACCCTTTAAGCAATTTACGCAAACGAATAATGCCCAGAGGAAGGACAGAAAAAAAAATAAACTACGGAGGGTACATTGTAAAACAAGAAGAATCAAAGCAGGTAGCGGTAGGTTACGATATAATGTCGAGTGATAAGAGACAAAAGGGAAGCCCTCACGTGCGATTATGTGTATATAAAGAGAGTACACGAAAATCTGATCCGACATGCCCCATCGATTTTGTTCAAATGTGCCCATCTGTTGATGACAAAAGAATGCAAAATTATCTGAATGAGCAGCTTAAGTATTATGGATCCAACATGAGAAGGGAAAACCTCGAACAGATTTGTCTCTACCTCCGGAAAAGGCCTCAACGGAGAGCTCCCCATGGACTGGCCAGCAGGTATACTGCACTGTGAAGCTGACGTGCATTCTTAAGAGGCACATTTTTACTTTACTCTTTTAACTACGTAACGGCGTCGGTCTCTTTAAGCAATGCTGCGCATCACTACATCCGCTATGCACCACTGTCGCCACTACGCATAACCATTGTCTTTCTCTCTCCCCCCCTGCTCCCTCCTAACCAAAGCCACCGCATTGGCAAGGAGCACCCAAACGTTCCACCTCGTCCGTGTCAAACTTGCAAAAAGGATATAAACCTCAAAAGGTACATAATGGACGGAGATGACAAAGAAAACACCTCGACGATGATTACTGACGAGAGGGATGTGGACCCTGCAATATCAGACCAAATAATGAACCAAATGAGAGGTCGGGAAAAAGAAAAAAATGAAGGAGAAACGACGAATTTAGCACACAAAAATAAACTGACGCACGAGTTAAAGTTAAAAAAATTCCAAAACGAGGAAGAAATCAACTTCTCCACAATTTACACACATTTAACGAATGAAAAAAAGATTTTAAAAAAAATACTAAACCAACAAACAAGGAAAAATAAAAAAGATTATTTAAAAAAATTAATTCAAGTAAAAAAATATATTACCAATTTTGTTACCTATTTTGAGCAAATTCTTGCAAAAATACAGGTAGAAAAAAATGAACCATATGACCCAACATACGATGAAGACAAACACTATCATATTAGTGCCCTCCTAAAATTGGTGGAGGACGTTATAAGTATTCTATCTGATCATTTCTATCACGTGAAATAAATTATGGACAAAAAAAAAAAATATTACACTCAAGTGGGGTGTGCAAAAAAAAAAAAAATTCCCTGTGTCGCCCTCTGAAATGGGTGTGAGAGTACCATTTGGTGATCAACATTGAGGGAAATGTGGTCTCCATCATTTCTGCGTAACAATGGAAGAACAGGCGAATCAATAATTCTCATGTGGAGCATTTTGTGTGGCCATTTCTCTCATCCCCTCATGTAGAGGTGGGAAAAAGGAATACATGTGTTCCCCAATGTGTGTGTCATTTTTTCTTGCCCAAAAAATTGTTCAACTTTATTTTGTCGAAGAAACTTATCTTTCCTTTTGTGACTGAAAAAAAAAAAAAAAAAAGGGAGGGAGGGAGCGGGGACGTGGAAATAATCGCCGTGATGTGAACGAACTGGTGCACCATAATAAGAGGTCTTTTTTTTTCTTTCTTTTTGGAGGCTCATAACTTCACTCTATCAATTAGGGCCCCCCCCTTAGGCCTTTCCTTACAATGGTTATTGAGCTTGTATGTGATATCCTTTATTCCTGCTTCCACATCCTGTGGCTCGGTCTGCAAAAAGGGGAAAACGGCTCAAGCACTATAGCAAAGCAGAGCAGCCAAACGGGGACAATTCCGCATCGAAGAGCTATCAAAACGTGCTGCGGCGCACACCCTCATGACGTGGTTCTCCATTCTTACCCTTTGCGTGTCCAACGAGATGCCCCGCAGGTGCAAACCTAAACGAGCTTTCGAAAAAAATGTAAAAGGGGAAAAAAAGGGGTGAGTAAAGGGCTATTATTCTTGTTTTTAAAGAAAAAAAAAAATACATATGTGTGTGTGTATCTGTGCGCTCTCGATAGCAATCTAAATGAACGACTCGATTAAGCTCTACATCATGAGCAAATGTGTCCTTTTAGGACGCTCGGAGATTTACTAAAGAGGCCTTTTTTTTTTTTGGCTCTTCCCCACAGTGCATTAAGCGTTATTTGTGGACTATACAATAGTGCATCCCGGTTCAAGGCTCACCGGGAACGCCGCCCTCTGCTATGCCTTACCATTCGGGGTGCTGATCCAGCCAATTTCATCCCCTAAATTCTGCAACCCCACGAGATCGCGAGATTCTAGTAGCAGCACCCTGGACCTCTTTTTCGGAAGTACCAATTCTACCACGCCTAAGCCAACTTCATGGGTTGGTATTTCCTGAACATACAATTTATCCACATCAATATTAAATACTTTTCTGTTTCTTACTATGCTGACTTTGTTAGAAGCATAGTCAAAGAGAACGGTGCACTTTCTCGTGACGACGTTCGATTCGGCTGAAAAGGGAGAAATCAGGATGAGAGCATGGGGGTTTGAAGACGCGCTGGTATGTTTCACGGGTGTGCGTAAACCCTGACTCGGTTCACTACTCTCATACGTTGCTCCGTTACTCTCATCACACCACACCACGCGCCTAATTGTTCGTGCACCTTACATAACACTATGTGAACGTAGGCCTGGAATCCCCTGCTGAGATACTGTTGCCCTTTTTTCTTTTCTTCCTCCAAAGGTCCATTCACTTGTTGCAACCCCTTTTTCGGAAAATCTTCCTCCGTCCTCACTGCAACCGAAGATGCGCTGGCTATGTGTTGTGCCTCCTTTGATTCCTCAGGGTCTGATTTTAATCCGCTGCTCAGTTGATGGCTCGATTGGCGGCTCACATGTTGACTCTGTTGGTGGCCCCTTTGCCTGCTCAGCGAGTCACTCAGTTGACGCTCTACATGGTCACGCAAATTCGCTGAAGCATTTTTCGACATGTCCGCGGAGGGACTCCTAGAATGTTCACCCAATGAATTGGAAGTCTGTTTCAAAATATTATTATCAATTGTATCATCAGCATTGTTAGGTAATACGTATGTTGGAGAATTTATGGGTCCGTCTTCCCCATTCAGCTTTGCGTCTTCTGTATTGAACCTTGGTGAGCTTACCTTAATGCCATCCCCTCCATTATAATTTGAGTAATCATTTGGTTGGACATTTTCTGGTCCATGGGATCCTCCCCCAGAGGCTTCTCTGCGTTCATTTAGTTCGTTCAAATTGTGATCGCTTCCCTCCAGGGCAATCTCCCCCTGGGCGACCTGCCCCTGGGGTAGATGATACTTAATGCAATTTTTTGAACTCTTCCTACTCACATTATGCGACGTAATGCTTATATCTTTTAAATTTTCGTTAAAGACAAATTCTTCAATTTTTGTGTCCATTCTTTTGTGACTATGTGTCTCAGGATTATCTCCCTCCGCGTGACTCTTTTCTATAATGGATGCTAACTTGGCCAGTGAGTAGGTTGCAACCGCCACAGATTCTTTGCTTTCTTTTACTTCTTTTACTTCTTTTCCTTCTTGTACTTCTTTTACTTCTTTACCTTCTTTTACTTCTTTACCTTCTTTTACTTCTTTGTATATGTTCATATATGCATTATCCTTTTTGTTACATATTATGGAGTTGTCACCTAGCTTAATGTTGTTGCCCTTGTTGGTGAGCTGGCCAAAGCCCCTGATTGGGTGACCTCCTTTCTTCGCGGTGAAGACGCCGCGTAGGGGTTGTGTATCTGTTTGGAATTTTTCACCCCTTTTGCCCTTCTGAGCCAATTTCGATTTTTCATTCCCTATCACCTTATCGCCTCTGTCCATTTCCCCTTTTTTCTTAGCTGTTGAGCCAATACACTTTCGAAGCAGCACATCGGCCCCCCCTCTGCGAAGCCTTTTTGGCTTCTTTACCTGTCCGATTTGGGATTCCCATAGGGGGGGATTTATCTGAGGTGAAATTGAATGGACTGCTTTTTGCCCTTTGGCGAGATGTACCTTGCCCAGTGGCTGCTTCTTCCCATGCCCCCCATTAAGGTGCATTTTGATTCGTCTCAAATTTTGCGATTTCCTAATGGGACCCGTCTCCGTATCAGTGCAAAGGTAAATAGCCTTGAGGTATTTTTCCTTCCTCCTTTTCAACTTTGAAAAAATGCTCTCCAGCGAATTTTCTTTACTACTCCCTGGGCAGCCTTCTCCTCCCTTTTCAAGTGACCATTCATTTGTGTGGACAGGGGTGCGATTAGTTCGAGTAACCTTGGCTCTCTGTGCGCCTTTAATTATTTTTCTTTCCTTCTCAACATTTCCCTTTTCGCGCTCTTTTTGGTCGTCTGTCTGGCTTCGTTTGAGAATGCGAAACGCCATGGCCTCTGCGTCGTCATACAGATGAACTTCCCTAATGCTGAAGATGCTTCTTTTGTAAAAGTCGAAAGATTCCCGTTTGCCATTCAGTTCGTGGTCCCGAAATATACGTTTGCATATGCCGTCTCTCCTTTTTGTGATGACAATTTTTTCCTTTTTTTTCTGTTCATTCAGGTAGCAGAAGTCGACATGGTCATCTGACCACTCGTTTTCCTTAAACGATTTTTTTAAAAAGTTTTCATTTTTTTTTCCTTTTATGAAAATGTCCTTTATTAAAATACCACTGGGATCTATTTGGAAAATTATTTTTTCTTTTTTTTTCCTATTCAGTATGACTTTTTTATTTCCTACATAGAAGACGTTATTTCTGTTGAAAAAGGTGTGCCCTTTTTGGGTTGTACCTTGTTGTAGCTGTCCGTCTGTGCTATCCTGCACCTCCGACTCCTCCTCCTCACTGCTGCTGCAAAAGAAATAATCGTACTCATTCATGCTGATAATATTTTTTTCCTTCCCTCCGTATGGTGTAAAGAATTCAATGGTGGCATTTATATTGCCATATTTATCGGTGCCAAAGGTGGTGATCGTTTTATTTATTCCTAACAGGATATTTTTCAAATCACTTAAAGGATTCATTCCTCCCTTAGAGAGAGACTCAACTGGAGAGGAGGTATTGCTTCTTCTTTGCGTAAACAAGTATGATTTACTCTGACAAATGCGGTTAAATTTTTTGCTCAATTTTTTTCTATCCTGCAATGCCAAATGTGTATCTCCTAATTGGAAAAATCTGAATGGCTTAATCTTCCTGTGCGGGTCGTAGTATTCTGTCTCGTTTAATTCTTCAGCCGCGTACAAACATCGGATGCTGTTTCGCGTTGTGAAATCGTTTTCTAAGTAGGTGTCATCATGTGGGGTTAGGAGTCCTTCCAAATGTGTATACTCCTCTTTCGCTGCTGCTCTATTTTGTGTGCCATCCGGTAATCCATTCGTTTCTTCACATGGAGGCTCCTTTTCTGTAGCGGAAAAAGTGGCGGCACAAAATATTCAGTCAAAAGAGTGGGACAATATCGAATGTACAAAAACGCTCAAGTGGAGGCCACGCATGACGGTTTGTCCCCCTTCTGAAGAGAGAACTTCCAAAAGGGATATTTTGGCAGACCCTTCTAATCACCCTCCCCAAGCATAAACACGCTTAGTCCTTTTCAAATTTACACCTGTCCGTGTCTCCTTCTCTTGATGGGGTTCTTCATCCTCGGTCTATCGGCATTCGAATGAAAAAAAAAAAAAAAAAAATAATAAAAAAGATGAAGTCATAAATGTCGACATACATATACAAATAAAATAACATGAAGTAAAATGGAGTAAAATATAATAGACCAATGTTGAGTCACATATTGTTACCCCATCCGCGCAACTTATCGCGACTGTCACTTGTGCATGTATTTTGTGTAGTGGCGCATCAATCACAAATGTCCCCCTTTTGCTTTTTTCTAACGTACCAGCGTGTCCTCGCCAGAAGCCCCACACATGTCACCATCCCTTGGCGTGGGTAGTTCCTCCCCCCACTGCTTAGCCACAATGTCCTCATTGTTTTTCATTAACAAATGAGACAGCGTGTCGCACATGGAGAATAGTTTCTGCAAATACTTTTTGTTCTTATTTTTGCTTTCCTTCTCCTGCAGGAGTGAGAAGTAAAAGTAGAGAAGGAATCAACCGATGCACCAAAGAGGGGGGAAAAGAACCCCCCTCATCCCGCATATGTGTTGACACCCCATACGCAACATTACACATGAATGTGTGTTGCCCTGTTCACTTTCCCCTTTTTTCTTTTTTTTCTTTTTGTGGAGATTACTATCAAGGTATACAATTCGGTCGCCGCGGAAATGGCCTTTTCGACCTTCTCATCGATGCCTAAAATGGGGGAAAAAAAAAAAAAAAAAAATGAAGAAATATGTTCACAAATTTATGGTGTCCACATTTTTCAACACGCGCAAGAAAGGTTTTAATAGGGTGTCCCTCTCAAACGCCATGTTATTTTTGTTCCCTTTAACCTTGGTTAAATTTGTTTTGCGCCTTTCTTGCCTTCAGTATTTGCATGCACAGGACAAGAACCAAGTGGAACTCTGCTCAGGGAGGGGGCAGTGTTGATGGGTGACGTATTTACACATCGTGCTGGTTAGCACGTCGCATGGTGTGTCATGCGGACCCATGATATGCATGCATCATGTGTCCCTTCTTTAAAAAAAAAATGACACTTGCTGTTTTTCCTTACGTTCGCAAATTATTTCCCCTTTGACTCTTTCTGCAATGTGTAGACTGTCCATGCATGCGCGGTTTATGGTGTCTTCCAGGGGTTCTTCAGTGGATGTACATGGAAAGGGGAAGAATAAGAAAGGCATAAAATTAGGGAACCACAAAAGAGTGTAGTTTCTCCGACATAGATTGGAAAAAACACCATTTTCCTGTCATACATGGATATATCCCTAACGTAAGCGCAGGTGCACTAACCTCTTGCCAAGAGAAAAAGCTTTCCCTTCTTTTTGGCGAAGCATGATGGGGCACCAACTAACTGATGTCGTTCGTACGCACATGAGCCGCTTCAGAAAAAAAAAAAAAAAAAAAATGGAAAATTAGTAAAATAGCCAAGTGGAAAAATATATGTTCCCTCTGGACTTTCTAAATTTTGAACGAACAGAGAAATTTTAAAAAACATTTTCACTTACGCGTTCAGCTTGGGCTCTCCGGGAAAATCTACAAGTTTGTTTTTATCCATTTGGAAAATTAGGATTAAAGGAGGGGCTCGGTTTCCTTATGATGTCTCTGTGCCAGCGATTGTTGTTAACGCCAGTGGAGTACCAAGTTGATAGCTGGCTTTTTTTTTTTTTTTTTTACTATATTTTGTTTTTCTTCGTTCTGTGTTGTTCTATTTCGTTCCATTACGTTCCATTTCATGCAAATTTTTTTTTACACATGGTGCAAAATTAGAAAGTTTGCATTTTGGTGACGTACACAAATGGGAACAATGCTCAAGGTTGGCGCTATACATTGCACAGGTGAATTTTTTTTTTTTTTTTTTTTTTTGTGCCCACTAGGGTTTAAGCGCTTTTAAAAGGTGCTTTGTGAAATTGCCCGGGGAAGTTACATTCGCGCCGGGAGAATAACCGTTTGAGTTGTTTTTCCCCTTACGCATTTCATTTAGGCTTTTTTAATTTTTTTTTTTTCGCGCAGTTCGAGTTATATCTTAAAAAAAAAATTGAACGTGCGCGAATTCGCCGCAATGCATGTTTTTTACACATAAGAAGGGATTGGAATGTGGCAGGGCAGAGTTTCGCACACCCGAATGGAAACGCGTGGGGGGGGGAGTAACCAGGAAATCATGTCACAGCTGACCACAGAACTGATCACACAAGTGACGCACGAGCCGACACCACCCTGTCGTGGAGGAACCCTACAGCAACCATTTCGATGTGGCACGAATAACTTCAATTTGGAACAACCGGAACAGAACTGTGATTTATGAAAAAAAAAAAAAACACTACAACGTGGTTACCACGTAACGATGTTATTATGTTGAGGCGAGAAGAGTGAACGCTGACTTGGTGTGCTCTCTCTGTGAGGAGAAATAATTTTACTACAACGGGGGGGGATTAAAAAGTTTCCGCCTTGGAACTATACGCGCAAGTAGACGCATACATGTCACATAGTCGGATAAAGCTGCAACTAGAAGTCCATCCGTGTGCATGCTCTTCCATTGGTTGTGGTAAGGCAGGGGAAATTGCGAAGAAAAATGCAGGTCGTTGTAAGATCTCTTTTAATGCAACGGGGAAGAAAAAAATTATTATTTTTTTTTTGTTACCTTTTGGGCGAACCGCTAAAGAGAAAAAAATATATATATTTTTTTTTTTTTTTTTTTTCCCTCTGTTTTTTATTTTTGTTCCTTCTGCCGTCGCTGTGGGACTTCTTTCCCTTCTGATGCGAACGCTCATAAATATGTCACCTGACCGACGTACGAACACGTGGCTAATGCGTGGACCTTTTTAGCTGCGCCCACAGGAAAGGACGCATCGCCGCAAAATGTACAACGCAAAAAAGTCATATTTGCCAATTTAGATATGGCGAGTTGGAAGGCATCCTGAAGTAATGTACCATGCATATATGCTTCACATAAATGGAAATTTAATCCCCTTTGAGGAGATTCTGCCTGCCCCCAAGTTTTGCCTCCCGGCCTACGGCAATAATCCTCTCTCCGTGTATACAAAACAAAAGATGGACCAAATTAGCGAGAAAAACAAACGTTGCGATGAAAAGAAGGAGAGGAAGAAAATCCATTGCGCCATCCCAAAATTTATTTTAAACAATGAGTTGTTGCAAAAGGCTATAAAAAAATGCTTCCCAGAAAATTACAATTTCGAAATATATAAATGCATTGACATAATCTTAAGGGAAAAATTTAAGAACATCGTTTTGCAGTTACCTGAAGGTTTGCTCATTTGGGGATTGTACATTTCAGAAATTTTATATTTTTTTTGTGACTGTGTGGAAGACGTTATTATCCTTGGGGACGTGACCTATGGTGGATGTTGCGTTGATGATTACACAAGTGAAAAGTTGAAGTGTGATTTGATCATTCATTATGGCCATTCCTGTTTGGTGCCTTTGACTGTAACCAAAATACGATGTATTTACGTTTTTGTGGATATAAAATTAAATTCTTCCCATTTGGTAGAAACCATAAAAAAAAATTTTAACAAAAGTGATATTATTTTACTCCTTGGCACAATACAATTTTCTTGTCTTGTACACAATGTTCATAACATTTTAAAGAAAGAAAATTATTTTGACCTTTTTTTGCCCATCCCACAAGTGCTTCCCCTAACCAAGGGAGAGGTACTCGGATGCACGTCCCCCAATCTTTATCGCGTCCTCTATGAGCACGTTGTGAGAGAAGGACAAGGGGGGAGTCTGGCGGGGGAGGAGGAACAGAAGTCCAGTCAACATGGCCGCTCACCAAGTGCGATAGCAGAAGGGGAGAAATATCCCTCTGGAGACATTCCCTCACAGGAACACAACGATACCTATCACAGTGAACAGTTTATTATAAATGAGTGCAAAAAATTTTTACAGAAAAATCAAGTCAAAATTGTTTTCATAGCAGATGGGAGGTTTCATTTGGAAAGTCTGATGATACACAATCCTGATTTCTCCTTCTACCGATATAATCCATTTAATAAAGTAATAACGACGGAAAAATATAATCACTCCCTTTTTCACGAGATAAGAAAAAATGAAATAAAAAAATGCTCCAATTGCAAAAGTGTGTGTATTATTTTAAGTACTTTGGGAAGACAGGGAAATGTAAACATTTTACAAAACATTTTAAATCTGGTCAAACAAAAAAAAATATATTTTTTTATCCTTTTATTGTCAGAAATATTTAATGAAAAATTAGCCTTGTTCAAAAATGTGGATGTGTTTATACAAATAGGATGTCCCCGGTTGTCCATCGACTGGGGCAATTACAATTCGAAACCTCTTTTAAATAGTTATGAGGCTTATGTTTTTTTGCAGGCAGTTAAATATAAAGAGATATACCCCATGGACTACTACGCCAGCTCGGGGAACGAGTGGACTAACTACGGCGCTGGGATTGGAGACATAAGTGAGAAAAACCTCTCCATGCGCGAAGTCATTCGTCGGCGTATTCAGCTGCGAAAAAGCAAAATTAGCATTCGATATCAGTAATGGGCAGTGGTGGAAAAGAAGAAAAAGGGGAAGTGTTAACCTGTGTCCTGTCTACACGTATCCATCCTTTTTCATACGTGTGCTAGTTTTGTCATTATGAAGATAATTTTTTTACGACTTTTTTTTTTTTTGTGTACATAATTTCCCCATTCACGTGTTGCGAAATGCCAACCGATAGCTTTTTTGTTTTCCCTTTTTTTACATTCCTTTCAAAGGGCAAGTTAACACTCCTTTTTATTAACTCTGAGGTATTCCACAACATGGGGAAACCAACAGCATTTGTTAGAGTAACAACTCAGCATATAAAAAAAAGCACACCATAAATGAGTGCGCGCGCGGTTTGAAGTCAATTTTTAACAATTTTGAAAAAAAAACGTTTGCAAAATTTGGGAAGGAAAAGGTGTCAACGGGGGTGGGGGGGGGTGGGGGGGTGGGTTCCTAAAAAGAGCCTTATAATTTTTTACGTACCTGGTTGCTATCCTTTGGGGCAAGATTCATCCCGTTGCATATTCTCCCATGGATGTAGATTTTCCGCCCGATCTCTGCTTCCACCTCCATTTGTCAAAGCCATTTTACTTTGCTTTCAATTTCAAAACAAAAATACATGTTGCCATTTGGCCTTTTCTCCTGCGCAAATATCTCATGCGACACGCACCTGTTAGAACACGGTTTGGCAGAAACGCAAGTGTTCTGGAAAAGTTTCCACGATGCCGCGTAATGATCCGCAAGTACGCATATGTATTAAACCTGCCCTTTAACGATTTGCGTTTCCAGATTTACATATTACGTTGTTACTTGCGCATCGTTCAGTTGGCATTTTCTGATATGAAGAAATCGAGTGGGAAAATTTTCTTAAGGCATTTTTGCTTCCTCACCATTTTCCTTATCCGTTCATCTGTTCGCTCAGTTTTTTTGTAGATGTTTTTTTGCTATTTTTAATTGCACTACACAAATGCAGCGTTTTTTTTTTTTTTTTTTTTTTCCATGTTTCCCCACACTTCCTTACGCATAACAAAAAAAACAAAGCGAATTGTAAGCGAAAGAGAGATCAATCAAATTTGCAGTTAAATTAACATTTGTCAATTTTTAAAAGTTGCAATTTTGCCTGTATGATGTATATTTATATGTAGCTTATTTTATCTACTTGCAATATTTTTTGCGATAGCTTTTTTTTTTTCGTTTTACTCACAGAATTAATGTTTTGCCCATACGCTCCTGGGAAGAGAGTATTGTTATATGAGCATACTTGAAAATATTTTGTATGGACAGTATGCCCGCACTTTTTGCACGAACTTTTTATGTTGGCCCATTCTGCTGTACGCATGCGTGGCCGCTCGCGTATAAACCAGCTTCCCAGGGCCCCAATTGGATCTCCATAAGCATTTCTACTTTACTAGCGTAGCGCCATTTGCGGCTAGCTTCCCCCTGTTCAGTGGTTCGTTTGGTATGCCACGCGCACGATCAGCGCAGCGGCCGCCTTCACGAACGCCTACAGTTGCATATTTTCCCTGCACCCCCCATTTACAAGTCCTCGTGCTTCATATTAGCATTTCCGGCACTCTATTTGTACGTATAGCAAAATAGGAGCGTCACATGTTTGCCTTAAAATGATCTCCAACGTTTGAGGAGTTCTTGGTGCAGAAGACTCTTCCACGTAGAAGGCTTGCAGGGTTATACGCGCGCGTGTATATGTGTTTGTATAAGCCATTGAGTAATCTGCGCGTATTCGCAAAATACAACAACACATTGCGCTATCATTTTTGCACCAATCGAGTTGTGTGATTTTGCACCAACCCCGTTTTCGCCCCATTCTGCGTTTCATCATTTGTTATTCTCCCCGTGCATGCTCATTTCGACCTAGTCGTTTGTCCACTACCCCCCCGCGGTCGAAAGTGCTCGCCCCTGTTGAGCTGTGAAGCGGCATTGCGACATTTCTGCATTGCGGCGTATCACTATTTTGACAAGGCGCCGCTTTGCCGCATCACCACCTCACCTCAGCGTGACGCTCCTCAACTGAAGAACGAGCAGGGCTCGCCCACCCCCCCCTAAAAATGGAGGAAATAATCATCCACATGATCATCATCGCGCCACTAACAAAGTGGCTAATGGGACCGAATAGGTCTTGGAACAAGGGAAAGCGAGAGTACGGAGTGTACATCGCACTGACGCTGCTGTTCTGTGTGGGCATATACGAATTGAGAAAAACGAATCAAAATTTGTACGAAGTCCTACAATTAAATGCTTACGCAACAAAGACAGATATTCAGCAGGCCTACAGAAGAATGTCCCGAGTGTACCATCCGGACAAGAACAAAGAACCTGATTCATTTGAGCGATTTAATAAAATAAGAGAAGCATACGAAATCTTAACAAATGAAAAAAAAAAATATATATATGACAGATTTGGAGATTTTGCTGGTAGTGAAATTACCAACTTTTTTTATGTGGAAATAATTATAATAGCCATATTTCAATTTGCCATTTCATTTATATTTGGCTTTTTGTATACCTATGGCAAAGACAATGAAAAGTATCGAATTTTAATTTGTTTGTATATTGGTTTAAACTTTTGTATAGAGTTGATATTCAGATTTAGCACCGAGAGTACTCACTTCCTTTCCTTTCTTCCCATTTTTTGTCACTACACTCCTTTCGAGAGGATCCATTCTCTGAGGGTGCTAGTCCCCCTTGTGATGAATGCCATTCTACTGGTTGACGTGTACTTTGTTGATGAAGACACCGACCTGTACGTTTCCACCTTTTGCGAATATGTCTTTGAGAACAGCCACAAAACTATAAAGAACTTGGACGACGCGGTTATCTTCTGTGCCCGTTTGGTCGATGGTAAGAAGCGACACCAGAATGGCGTTCATTCACCGCATCGGGATGTGTGCGAAAATGTGATGGTTGGGCAGAGTACGGGTTACTTCGATGAATACCCTTCTCTTTTCCCTGCCTTTCCTTTATGTTTATTTTTGCATCCCTTTCTCCACCCCCCCCTTGTGCAGGCAAAGTGAGCAAGGCAAACAACTTTTCCTGGAGAGAAAAGGATCCCTACAGCGACATTGCCAACGTTGACCAACTGGAGGATGAAGAAACGTATGACAAAAAGTGCGAAAGAAATGATTTGTTTTATAGGCTTTTACATAGCGTGATCGAAACGAGCACAGAGGAAGTGGACTTGAAAATTCCCAAAAAGGCTCTCTGCCGTCGTTTTGACTGGTCCAGATTTTACACGCAAAGCGTTATGGAGAAGAACACCGAGGAGGTGAGATTAGGAGGACCCACAAGTTGCGAAAATGGAGCGCACAGCGGGGGGCAAAAAAGAAAAAAAAAAAAAAAAAAAAAAAAAAAAAAACATGCCCAACTTTGCAATTAACCACGCATGTGCATGTAAATTATTTCCCCTCCCTATGTGTGTGCAACTCATATTCCCATTTGCTTATTTTTCCTTTTTTCCCCACTTTACAGAAAGACTTCGAACAGAGCAACGCGTCCAAAGGAATTCTATTTTCATCTCTGTTGTACTTTATTGGTTTGATATCTCATTTGGTATCCAAGTGATTTGAAGAAAAGAGGTGTGTGTGTGTGGGCTTGGCCTGTGCGGCGCGTTCGTTTTAACTGCGCACATTTGTGGCATATCAGCGACACACACATTTAAAACACCCTACCGCTGCGCACATATAGAAACGTCAGCGGTACACAAATTTGACTTTTTAATTTTTTCCCCTTTTAATCCCCTCCCCCCCCCTTTTTTTGTTATTTCGTTGCTGCCAATTTTGCTGCGATTTATTCTTTTTTTCTTTCTTTCTTTCTTTTTTTTTTTTCTGAGCATATATTACCGCTCCTTGAGGGTTAACTTTTTAAATACCATGTTTTTGTTCTTCATGCACAGTTGTGGGAAATACACAAAAATTCGCTTCTCCCTTTTTTCTCTCCCTCTCTCTGCGCGCGCAACACGCTGCTACAAGCATCAGGTGTTTTCTTCCTTTTTATATTTATTTTCCAACGCTTCAACTAAGTACTCCATTGCTGCAATTTTGCCAAAACGGAAAAGACAAGGAAACACATCATGTGGGGGTTACCCAAACAGTGCGGCAGACACAGAAGAGGGTTATCATCACAGGAACATTCTCAACATGGAAAAGTGAAACTGCTCCACGGTCTCCTGTGTTTTGCCTTACGGTCGCTGATGTTGCCTTCTGGTGGGGGTAAGTCTGGGGGGACAGAAAAAAAAAACATATTAAAATGAAATAATGTACTCCTAGTAGTAGGAACGCGGCATGGATACACTCCCCCTGTGGCACATACAACTGTGTGCATATGTAATTATGCAGTCACATAGAATCACATGTACATGCGACTCACTCAGAGACATGAAAATGAAATTCAGGTGGGACGGCAGGGACATGTCGAGTGACTTCAGGTTGGGGTTCAAAGCTCTGCTATTTATTAAGTCCAGGATGTCGTACTTGTTCTGATACCCAGGTGGCATGTGCCTGCATGCGTTTCGAAAAAGGTGTTTCACAGATGAGAATATGCTACGGAAGGGTTCGAATTGGACCAAAGTGGTACGAACCAAGAGGCTCATCCATGGGCCATATGGTCAGTACAAACGAGTATATAAGTCACACACAAGTGCAACACACGCTCGTGTCTTTATTTCTCTCCTTCTGGTGGCTTATAACATTTGCAGTTCCTCGCAGGCCTCCGGTATTTCAAGCAGTTTAGAAAAATTTTCGCTCACAAAAAAGTCCTTAAAAGAGACCGCTACACAAATTGGCGAAAAAAAAAAAAAAAAAAAAAAACGTGTCATTTTTCATTTTATGCACGAGTGTACATAAATGGCGGTAATATTAATTAGGGGGGCAAAAATGGAAAAACATCTGAAGCATTTTTTCTTTGTCCTTTGTGATGGCTCACCCTTCTTCGAGTCGAGGCCCTGTAAATTTCTGTTATGAGCAAATAGCAAGTCGGACAACCCAGATGAGTAGTCATTTGCGTTATACCTCCTTTTGCTCCCAAGATCTGCATTTTGGTGATAGAAAAGAAAATGGAGCGAAGAAGGAAAGGGACATGTCAGGGTGCGTTAGTAGTTATGTATATAAGCCTCCTTAAAGCTACACACTGGTGAGTGCCTCCCCCTCTTCCCCATTCAGAGCGCGCGTAGGAAGCGAATCCGCAGCGCAGGCTCTCACCCTTGGACAAATCGTTTGCTATGATGGAGTTAAATTTCTTCACGAATACCTGCGCGGTGGAGGTGGGATCGAAAAATGAGAAGTCCATGGGTTAAAAAAAGGTGTCCATATGCGGCAAGATAGGGGCACGCAGCCAACTGGACAACTATACCAATTAGACCATGAATAAAAAAAGATTAATCCCCCCCTTCTCCACTAAAAATAAATGCTTTAACTTACTTCATCTTTCGAATCATCATAGTCCTGCATCCAATAAAAGGACACCTCTCCTGGGGGGAGAAAAAAAAAAAAAAAAAGATAAAAAAAGCACGAATTTATATGTGTGTGCTAAAAAGCCCATAGAAATGCAGCTCGTCGTTTGGTCACTTTTCCCATTTGAAAGGGTAACCCATTTGGGCATATATTCTAATTTTCCTTTTTTTACCTCGCAATTTGTTCCTGAGGAGATACACGCGCCCAGTTGTGCACTGCTCAACTCTTTCGAGGGATATGCTTTTGGTTAAAATCAAATTGTCCTAAAATGTAAAGAGATGGGACGACACATACGGTTAGTATGCTCATGTGGGAGGTGCTGGAGTCTGTTCGGTCATTCAACATGTTCACGTAAGAAGAGTCTGCATTATTTTGGGGGTAATATTTTTTCGCCTCTAAAAAATACCTCAACTTTGTTATTTTCCCTGCTGATCCACTGGAAGTTGTACAGATTGTCGCATATCTGTTTTTCATTTTTTCACAAAAGAAATATGGTTGGCCAGTTAGGAGGGGGAAAATATATATATATGCAAATTGAGAAACGAATAGAAGGACAAGTTAATAAACGGGGGGAGTGGAAGAGTGTCCACACATCACTTCTATCCCTTCTCGCCGTAACTCGCGAAAAGGAGTCCATTATGCTGTCGAAAGGTGTGAAGCCATTTTTTTTTTTTACCTTATAAAGGACAAGTTTGCCCTTTCGGTTATCGGGCTTCACTGTCTTGCCATCATAAATACACTTCCCAGCATTTATTTCTAAGTGAATTTTCTACACGAAAAGGAAAAAAAAATAATAATTAAATCGTGGGCACGGGTTTAGTGCTTTCCCCCTTTGTCATTCACACATGTGCAGTTTAATGACACAAGGGGGGTGGGGAAGGAAACAAAATTGAACAACCACACTACAGATGCCTTTTTGTGTGTATTTATCTTCTTGTGGGGTTGGAACCCAATTACGATCGAATAGGTATCCGCACAAATGCAGTGAACACGAAAATCCCTCGGGGGCAAGCTCCCTTACCGCTGAATCCATTTTCGAGTTATCCTTTTTGTCGAGATGAACACGAGTCCTTATCTCTGTGATACAGGTGTTATTCAAAAATGGGTAGAAATAAAAATGGGGCATTAACCCTTGTTTGGGTAAAAAGCAGGACGAGGGAAATGAAGGTACAAATTGTGAAATTCAACACAAGAGCAATGGACTTGGAAAAAAAAAATATAAAACTTTACTTTTTGGTGTACTTTATATACGTGTATACATATTATGTATACTTATATAACTTATGCGTGTACGTTGCGTCCCTGTGCCGGATTTACACCACTAACAAAAAGGAGCGCTTTTCCATATGCTTATTATTATATTTTTTTTTTTTGGCCCATTGTCAGCGGTGCATAGGCGCAGCAATAATAACCCACACGCTTACGTCGAGTAACCGCACAAGTTGTGACATGTCCCCCTTTTAAAGTTCCTACGTGAAGCATATCTGAACGACTTGGTACCCAGGAGGGGGAAAGGGAAAAAGCAAGCCGATTTTCCTTTTCAAAAATTAGCTTCCCTTAGGTCGCTGCATATATTGTGGAAATGGTTGTGCCTGGTGTGTACGGCGTTGTTAACGACAGGATGGACGGGTATACACATGAATATATGTACATATGCAAGTATGTTCTTTTTTGTGTGCCCTTTCATTTTAGTGCTCACGAAATGAACATCCTCACATGTGGTAAGGCATCAAATCCGTATTAACACAGTACCCCCGTGAGCAGCCTTTTTCTATGTCGGCAAATTCGATAAAATAGCTTCTTTTTTTTTTTTTTTTGTTTTTGCAACAACATTTATGGTCATTCCTACCGTTGCCATTATTTTGGCGATGTTTAATATCGAAGGGGATGATAACACATTGGGACATATTCGATTATCCTGAACGAACATTTTAACGTTAAATTTGTTCCATATGGGTTTTTCACAAAAGGAGCGGGAAAACCTTTGGGAGGGGAAAGCTGTGAGGAGAACTGCTTTGCAGCAAAACACCCCTGCGAGGTTGTAGCACATATGCACACTTTTATTTACCAAAATTGTTTGGCTTTTTTTTTATTTTTTCTCCTTCCTACATACTTATGATGAATATGCGGTTTGGTAAATAAAAGCACTATTTTGAAAAAGCGGACAGAGCAAATACCAAAGTGACACGATGCTCTGAAAGTTTGTTTAAATGGAATCTCCTCAGCCGTTTAAAGTAACATATCACGAGTTCAGTAATTCATCTTTTCATTCGTAAAACGTTGTCAATAAATATGTTCGCCTTTTATACATATATAACGACAAGTGGTTAGGGTCTGTACGAGAATTATTTCCTCTTTCGAGAAGACACCAAACGGAATGTCCTGTCCATTCCGTGTGCAAAAATTTTTTTTTTTTTCTATTTTTCCCTTAACAAGTCATAATTTTTATTTCACAAAAAAAAGGCTAGCTTTGCGAACATTGGTGTTTTTTCAAAAATGGCTAATTTAGTTTTCAAAGAACTATAAAGTAGCCCAACAAAAAAGGCAGGAAACATGATATAAGCTTCTTTTTTATAAAGTACAAATATGATCGCGCACAATTGGAAGGACAATTTCCATCAATTTTGGTAAATCTGCAAAGCATGCATAAACGCAAGCACTTTTTCATTCTTTAAATTGCGCGTGAAGAAAGGGGGAAACAAAGAGCAAAGTCGCCACTTTGTGTTCGAAAAAGTGAAAGCTGCTTCATTTATGAGTGAATAAAAAAAATGCGTTTCGCGTGAAATGACGTACATAAACTTGTAGCGCGTATGAGCACTCGCGGGTGATGTTACCGTACCAGCGCAGTAGGGGCCCTTTCCTTTTCATGTACCAGCAAAGCGTTCACGCTTATATTTTCAGCCAAGCTGTACGTACATATTACTATAAACGTAACGAGCAATATTATATATTATGCGCTTCTTTCCTTTTATTGTGCTAAAGTACATTTGAAAGATTTTTTTTGTTTTTTTTTACAAAATGTAACAAACTGTTGTACTTGTGGTTAGTGCCTCCCAGGGAGCGATTGACAAATAATATTAAATGATTGGTGTATTTTTTTTTTTCCTTCATTTTGACTAAGGAAGAGTTTTTAACTCACCTGCTAATGGGTCACGTCATTCTTCTACGCATGCATTTTATGCTCGGCCACTTTTGGGGTCATCCATTTTGTGCATTGCATATTTCATAAGTATTTAAATAAGCATTTAAATTTAAGGCAGCTGAATGCCTTGGGGTCAGGTTTTAACCCTTTTCTAAAACGTGCATAAAACGTTCTGCGCAAACAAAACGTTCGTGTCAGATCCGTTGAAGAAAAAAAAAAAAAGAATTAAAATTTAAAATAAAGCGCAAAATTAAAAGCAAAACAAAATTAAAAAAGCTTTCTTTTCAGGCCTTGCCCAGTAGTCGGAATTTCTTCCAATTATATTACTTATTTGTTTTTGTTTTTTTTTTTTTTTGGTTGTTTTCATGTTCTTTCTTCCGCATTCGTTTTTGTATACGAAATAAGTAGGAGAAAGAAAGCCCGCTTCGTCCTGGACTATCAAATGTAGGTTTTTTCGTCTCGTATATAAAAGATACCTCTCACAAAAGAAGGCGGGGCGTACGTTTGATGCCGCGCCTTGAATATATGCGCATGGCAGGGACATTCCCAAGAGATAAATTGCTCCGCATGTGAATGTGGCTTATATACTCAACGCATTTAGGACACTACACGTGTAGAAGCATATATCCTGCGCCATTCATACACATCATATGTGCACCTTATGTTTGTTTTAAATGAAACCCGTTATGATGAGAAGAAAACCGTCTCATTTATGTACGTGTAGAGGTTAGTATATCACTGAACCGCTGTGCCCCTGCTCATATTTCAACTCCCTCTTCCTTTTTGCAGGCCCAGGATCGTTCCTTATCCAAAGCACTATTGCACATATAAAAACTCCACAGGGTGTTCAAAGGACACTCCATTTAGAATAAAACGCCATTATAGAAATAGGACCATGAACATTTATATGTACATTGTTATATATATAAACATATATACAATAGTAGATTAACCCGAAACTACTTTTTTTTTTTTTTCTCTCTCCTTTTTTTGGCAGTTCGTTCTGTAAGGTACTGTTAAGTGTTGTGCCCTGCTATAGTATGTAGGAGTATCTACGCATATGTAGGTATGTCTCTGCACGCATGCAAGCTGACCTACCCTTTGTGTGCATATGTACAGACGTGCACATTTTGCATGTGTCAAGGGAAGGACATTTTTCATGTGAAGGTTAACAAAAACTGCTATGCTCTCATATGTGAATTCTTTTAATATTATTAAAAAAATTGAGGAAAGAACACTTTTTTTTTTTTTGAGGTGGATAAAGAGTAGGATTTGTTCTAAAAAGAGCAGATGTGAGCTAGCCTATGTGTAAGGTGGCAGGGAGGCATACACCCATGTGTACATATATGTATTACATATATGTATACATATGAATGTAGCTACGTACCTCACATTGCGTCCATTCTCGTATGTGTTTATATTAGAACATACGTATAATATAAGAACACAAGCGCACAAACGTCTATACGCGCTTGGGCGCGCATACACACGTGTAACAGAAGAAACGGCAATTTTTTGAACCCTAACCCGAGAATTGGATATTTTGAGAAGAGGTCCATTTTTTTCCCCCGCACGAGTTCCTCGTTTTGCCTGTGTGTGTTTTTGTTTTTTTTTTTTTAACAGAGTTACACTGTGTGTCATATTTCGGTTGGTTGCCTCTGATGTGTTCTTTTTTGCAGTAGTGAGTGTGTGTTCCAGCCATACGTACGTATACCTACATGTATATAATTGTACACCTTTATGCGTGCACACATTTTTTTCGAAAAACACATTCACCCATCGTAAGTCAAAAAAAAGGAATAAGAAATCGGACTGTATGAATATTCAGTGCACCCAGGATCAACAGTGTCGTCCTTTCCCCCGTCACTTAGCGAATCGAGAGAAAGCTGAAAGGAAAAAAAAAAAAAAAAAAAAAAGAATAAACACATACATATATGTATACATATAAGTGTATATGTATTACGTGTATGTGCACGTTTGCACTAAGACATCCAAACGCGTAACCATCAGGAGTGTCCATGCAACGCTAAGCGACAACGTAGAAAAAAAAAAAAGCTGCATACAAGAACAAAAAAAATGAGTGCACAGCGAATGGTAGCCACATAGGACAGATTGCCTGTTGCTCCAATCGAAACGTGAAAACGTTAGAGATGAGCAAAAAGTAGAAAAATAGAAAAAAAAACTTATTGTAATATTTCACAGCAGAATAAAAAAAAGGAACAAACAATAATAGACCTACAAAATTTCCCCTTCTTTTTTTTTCCCATCACTGCAACAGTTACATGTGTTAATACGTTAGCCGTATGTGTCTTCATGTCTTTACATTAAGAGTGTTTACTGTGTGCTTATCTCCTCCCAAGCGCAGGCATTTTTTTTTTTTTTTGTTGTGCCGTCGTTTTGGTAATACATATGCAGATGAAATGAGTGCTCAAGAGGGACAAACCAATCGAGGAGACCTTTAAGTACAAACGTTAAGAAGAGTTAAAAGCGGAACTGGTTTGGGGAAGAAACGTGCCAAGGCGTCCGAGGAGGGATCTGTGCCCCGCAGTTTAATTGGTGATCGCTATTGGGTGCGCGCCAAACTTGGATGCTAACTTGACCGCTAGCTTGATCGCTAGCTTGATCGCCACACTTGGACGCTTTATAAAAATTCTCCATCCCTGTGAAGCAGAAGCAAAATGATTGACACGTTTATCTATTGGAATTTTCGGGGGAGCAAAGGGAACGCAAATGTGTTAAGGATCTCCCTGCCTTGTAGTTACAACACGATAAAGAAGAAGATCCTGGAGGTGACCAATTTGAATCTACAAAACAACTTGGACATCCTCCTTTACCACAATAACAGAGTGTTGAGCGAATATGAAAGTATACAAAATGAAATGCTGATAGAAATTCAGCGGAGCAACGTAGATGTGGTTAAAGAGTTGCTACACAAAAGTAATAATGCCTATTTGGACAGGAACAAAAACAATGTGCAGGACAACAGGAGGGGAGGAGCTACGCCCCTGTCTGGTGGGAGACAAAGCGAAGTGCGCGATAGTAAGGTAGATGGTACTAGTACGATTGGGAGCACATATGATAGTGGTGGAATAGGTGGCAGCCACAGAGGCGTAGGAGGGCATGAGGGTAAGCCAAGTAGCCTCGATCTAAACAGACCGCTCAAGATGAGTCGAACTGCAAACTACCCATACAGTAGTAAACAGCCATGGAATGTCTACAACCGAAATGCTATAAGTGTAAAAGAAAATAATGAGGAGGATGATGAGGATATGAAGATTCAGGAAATGATGGAAAAAAATAATCCCTATTATCAACGTTCAGATTATGCCAAATCTAGAATGTTAAATTATTATAAAAAGGACAGAAATAATGTTTCTCAATTTTATATGAACAATAAATTTAAGAAAGTAGCCGCATCCCCTTCTTCTACTCCTTCCGCATCTGCTTCTTCCATTGCGAAGAATTTAAGTGGGTACAATTCAATGTCCTCCACTTCCCTTCCCAGAGGAGGAGAACACCAGTTCCAAAACGGAATGGCAGGGGCGTACAGTAAGTTTTACAAAATGAGGGGTGCCTCACAGAGTAGTGGCTATGGTAGTGCGATGAGTCACAGCACTTATGCAAACTCGAGAAATCAACAGAAGACAAAAATTGGTAATAACAGTGTGAGCAATCAGGATACAAGCACAAAGTATGTGTCGCCCGACTACATATGTCACATGTGTGGGAAAAAAGGGCACAGTATTAAGAATTGCACCATGAGCTCTTTTAACAATAATAAAAAAATTAAAGTACCCACTGGAATACCAACTAATTTTTTAACGAAAATTAAACCAGAGGATATAAATAAGTATGACCAGATTTATATTCTGAAGGATGGAAGTTATGGAGTGTTGAAAGATGTTGAAGATGTTAGTGGAAGTGCATACCTATATCGCAGTGTTGATGATAAAATTAATATTTACTTGGGTGTGAATAACAAGGATAGTAGTAGGAATGGTCATATGGATGGGGATCAGGGTGGTGATGGAAGGGGAAGAAATGCAGGTGCTAACTCTGGTGGGAACCTTCTTAGCAGTACCAATCAAAATGGGAATGGCAGTTACCCTAATGAGGAGGGAGACAAAATTTCCAATCTGTACAAATGTCTGTTATGTAAAAAATTGTATTCTTCCCCAACAACGCTACCTTGCTGTGGGGAGACATATTGTAAAGGATGCCTATACAGGTATAATAGAAAAAGGAAAAATGATTACTCTTCTTCGCAGTTCTCGTCCTCATCAGGGTACCAACAAAATGGGGATGGCAAATCTCAAATGATGAAATGCCCCAATTGTCACAAGCTTATAAATTCAGATGCCCTAATCATTAACACTAACATTAAAAATGTAATTGACACAATTATACGAAATCAAAAGGTCACTAATGCGAATAAGGACGAGGAAGATGTCCGCGGTGGGAATGCCTCGAACGGGGTAGGCACCAATATGGCAACCATAGGTGGTATGTCTCACATGTCAAGTGATAAGAACGCCACTTCATATAACAGAGCAACCAACGGAGTTACTAACAACACTGAATCCTCATCGTCCCGTTCTGTTCCTAATGGAAAATTATATCAAAGGCAACCACTCCCCAGTGGAAGCTTCCCACCAGGTAGTGACCTTCCCAGCAAGAATAGTAGAACAACGGAAGAGCAAAATTCACTTCACAGTAGCAGCCTCTGCAACGACAATGAGGATGAATTTCAAGACAATAGTTTCAACCCCCTAATTAATTTACCCATTAATCTGTTAGAGATACAACGCCAACACGATTTTGCTGCGGCGTATATAGCCAAATATAAAATGAGGCGAAAACCTAAGCGGAAAAGAACTATTGACCTCGAAATGCTTTTCATGACTAAGCGAAGAGTGTGCTAGCGTCAGAGACGCAGCAAATAGGGGGCAATAAAATGGAGTCTGCATAAGGCATATGTCCTTCTTTTATAATATATGCCTATGTTCCCTGTGCAGACTCCATATATTAGAGGCGGTCACCCCATTTGGCACATTTTTGTTTGAAGTTCCCTTTTATTTTCCCCACCCTCTCTCATGTCATGTAATCGTCCATTCCTTCCCAATTTTGACCTTTCACCGATGTACAGAAGTCTCTCTTCTGGGTTTATGCCTCTTTAACTATTTAGTCTTTGCTCTTTGCGCACACTTCTTTGTTTCACTCTGCTTTGTTTGGCTTCGTTTGGCATCGTTTCGCTTTTTTTTTTTTTTTTGTTTTGTTTTGTTTCCAACGCATGTCTCCTGGCACAGTTGCTTTAATTTTCTCTTTTGTTTGCTTAACAAGTTGCGCTTTGGAGAGCAGACGATCCTGCTCGTGCGCTTGCCCCAAAGGGGCGAAAAAGAACATACTAAGGCCGACGAACACCAACATTACTTAACCAACCGTTCACGCCGTCCACATGAAGACGGCGACAACAAAAAAAAAAAAAAAATACATTTCGAAGGTAACATATTAATTTTAAACTTTGCTACTACTGTGTTTTTCATTTTTGAAAAAAAAAAAAAAAAAAAAAAAAAAAA